CAATGTTTCTTTCATCAGCAAAGTGGTCGAGAGGGTGGTGGCCGACCAGCTTCAGCCTCATTTGGATGAAACAGATGCCCTGCATCCGTTTCAGTCGGGCTTCAGGCCATGCCACGGTACAGAGACGGCATTGGTTGCCCTGTACGATGACCTGTTGAGGGAGGCTGACAGGTAAAACATCTCTGTTGGTTCTCCTCTACATCTCGACAGCCTTCGATACCGTCAACCACGGTATCCTGAGGAGGCTCTCTGAGTTGGGAATTTGTGGCTCGGCGTTCGCCTGGCTCCGTTCCTTCTTAGAGGACCGACCCCAGAGAGTACAGCTTGGGGAGAGTGTTTCGGCCCCGTGGAGTCTCAATTGTGGGGTTCCACAGGGATCGATTATCTCCCCAATGTTGTTTAATATCTATATGAGGCCGCTGGGTGGGGTCATCAGGGGGTGTGGAGCACTGTGTCATCAATATGCTGATGACACCCAGCTCTACATCTCCTTTTCACCAACTGCAGGTGATGCCGTCCTGTCCCTCCAGCGCTGCCTGGGGGCCGTACTGCAATGGATGCAGGAAAATGGGTTGAGGCTGAACCCGGACAAGATGGAGTTTCGGAGGGTGGGTGCCCCCAGGGTTGGTGGCTTGGGTGACTTTCTCTTGTGTGGGGGGGCGGTGACTTTGGTCCGCAGCTTGGGGATTCATCTGGACCCGACACTCACCATGGAAACGCAGGTGGCGTCGGTAGTCCGTACCGCCTTTTTCCATCTCTGGCAGATGGCCCGGCTGCAACCCTATCTCGACACGGGGGTGCTCACTACCTTGGTGCATGCGCTCATAATCTCAAGGTTAGACCACTGTAACGCGCTCTACGTGGGGCTGCCTTTGAGGTTGATGCGGAAACTCCAGGTGGTGCAGAATGCGGCGGCCAGACTCCTTAGTGGAGCGAGAAAATACCAGCATATTTCTCCTATTCTGGCAGCATTGCATTGGCTGCCCATTTGGTTCTGCTTCGACTTCAAAGCTTTAATGCTCACTTACAATGCCCTAAATGGTTTAGGACCTCGATATTTGGCGGAACGCCTGCTCCCACCAAGGTCTACCCGGATCACCTGAGCGAGTCAGGAGGTGAGGCTGAGGAGCCTGACGCCGAGAGAGGCCTGGAAGGAGAAAACACGAAATCGGGCCTTCTCCGCGGTAGCTCCTCGCCTCTGGAACAATCTCCCTCCAGAGATTTGCGTGGGTATCCTTCAAAATCAATTTAAAACATGGATATTTATTCAGGCCTTCCCTCCAGTCAGTTCTTGAACCTTTTCTTTTTATTTTCTTTATTTATTCTTTATTTTTCCGTCTTGTAAATTGTTATTGGAATATACTTATGCAATAATTCTTGTTTTATTTTTATTAGTTGTTTTATGTTGTATTGGAAGCCGCCTAGAGGGGTCGCAAGACCAGATAGGCGGGGTACAAATAAAGTAAATAAATAACAGTGAAGTTACCAGAACTGGCCGCTAGAGGGAGCCAGAGACCATGCTATGTATAGCGTTAGCTGTAATCCACATTTTTCATTATCTGCAGGGGGGTTTGGAACTGATTTTCTGCAGATATAGGGACCTGACTCTACTTCTAGTCTTCCTCCTTTTTGCCCCATCATTTTCTCCCACCTTTAACTTTTCCCGAAACATTTGTTGTGGCCGATACAAGGTCTCTCGGTCTCGGGACGAAGGCAGTACCCATCAGGTCCTGAAGCAGCCCGGAAATAATGCCAAACTCCATGTCCCAAGGCTCCCACGGTCCAGATTTGGAAAGCCGCCTCTGGCCCGCGGTATGAAGATTCGTAACGTTTGCTGAGAGAATTAAAGAATAATTTGTGGGTTGTGTCTTGCAAACCAGGTGGAGGAACGAGCCAAATTTGATGGCATTTTTGAAAGTCTCCTCCCGGTCAATGGTTTGCTTTCGGGAGACAAAGTGAAGCCGGTACTAATGAACTCCAAGCTACCTCTGGATGTCCTGGGGAGGGTAAGTGGAACTGACCCCCCCTTCCTTCTTCCCCTGCTGCATCCCGCCCACCCCTGGCCCTCGCTCATCCAGAGAAGGCATGGGGCTTTGGTAAGAGTGGCTCAGAATGGGTTCTCTCCCCCCCCACAAGTGTAACCTGGCCCACGTGACGCGTGCATACTAGCTCAGTTGGTTACAGCGAGCAAAGCTAACGTTTTGATGTGCTCCAGTAACATGCAGTCCAGTAGGACCCCCATATCCACGGGATCTGTGTATGTTGATTCACTTATCCACGGTCTGAAAATATCTTTAAAGAAGTTCTTGAAATATATCAGGCTGCGTATAGTGGTTACGCGGATACAGGGGTCCTACTGCCATTGCTTTTCTGAAAGCCACACCTTCTGGTTTCTTCTGTGATTGGAACTTTGCACTTCCAGGTGTGGGACCTCAGCGACATCGACAAGGATGGGCATTTGGACCGAGACGAGTTTGCCGTGGTAGGTTCCCACGCAAGCCGCTGTTTGGGGGTGCTGAGCGCCTCCGAGCATCATCAGCCCCAGTGGGATCTGCTTGGATTTGGGTCCTCACCTTGAGTAGGGGGTGGGTGGTGGACCGGATGGCCTTTGAGGCCCCTTCTTCCTGTTCCATGATTCTAGGGCTCTCCGGCTTTCCTGGGGGTCCCCCCTTGGGCCAACCTGATCTCTCACGCCAGAGGCTGCCCCCCATCCTTGTTCCCTCTGCAACCCTCTTTCCCCCCTCCCTTTGGGCCTTGCAGGCGATGCACCTGGTCTACCGGGCCCTCGAGAAGGAGCCAGTCCCCTCCGTCCTGCCCTCGTCGCTCGTCCCGCCTTCCAAGCGGAAGAAGGCGGCCCTGTTTCCAGGGGCAGTGCCGGTCCTGCCCGCCAGCCCTCCCCCCAAAGACAGCCTGCGCTCCACCCCGTCCCATGGCAGCGTCAACAGCCTCAACAGTACAGGGAGCTTGTCCCCCAAGCACAGCTTGATTCACTTATCGGTGGGTTTAGATCCTGTCTCTCTCTCTCTCTCTCTCTCTCTCTCTTTCTCTTTCTCTCTCTCTCTCTCTCTGTGTTGAGGCATTGAGAACTAGGCCGGGCCCCCGTATCCGCGGTTTCAGCATCCACGGACACACTTTCCCACGGCGTATTAAAACCATCGAAAGGAAAAGCCTTAGAAATAGATATTTTGATGGAGCTGCCAAAGTGGGCCGCTAGAAGGAAGCAGAAGCAACGCCTCGTGTAGCGTTTGCTCATGAAGTAGGTTTCTACAATGTCGTTACCAGACCCGGTCTCTGGAGAGAGCCAGAGGTCTTGCTATGTCTCCTGTTCATTATTAAAATGTGGTTCCCTATAATCCACGTTTTTCAGCATCTACGGGGGGGGAGGGTAGTGGCTCGGAACCCGTCCCCACGCGGATATGGAGTGTCCTACCGCCTCCCGGTTTCGTTCCAAACGCAGTCGGAATAATCCAAAATTGGAAATAAACGGTTGAAATCAACGCTTCTGAACTCAGAAAGGTTGGCTGAGCCAGAAGGTGTTAAAAACACCAGGAAAACACAGTGTAAAAGGCTCCATTTTAAAGCATCCCCTCGTTTAATTTCTACAGGGAAACATAAGTTTGTTCCTTTTTAATCTTTATCTGTTTATGGATGCTTCTGCAGTAAGGGAGCTTGGCACGATCGGAAGGCATTACAACCTGCAGGCTTTCTGCCCGGCTTTTGTGGTGGGGGGGGCGTCCTTGTGAGGGATAGGAGGGAGGGTGTTTGCGATGAACTGGCTTCATCGGTCTCGGCCAATCACGCCAATCACCTCCGTGAGCCTGCGGTGTCGTTTCAGCCCTCGGCCAACTGGGTGGTCCCCCTTGGGGACAAGGCACGCTACGACGAGATTTTCCTGAAAACGGATCTCGACATGGACGGCTTTGTGAGCGGCCTGGAAGTCAAGGACATATTTATGCACTCGGGGCTGTCCCAGAATGTCTTAGCCCACATCTGGTAGGGAAATCTCGCTCCCCTCCGGCCTTTTCTGCCCCCACGGGGGCCTGTGGAATTCACTGCCACCAGGTCTTACGGCAGCTGCCAGCGGGGACGGCTTTATAAGGGGGTTGGATAAGTTGGTGGGGGTTCGGGCCATCGGTGGGATCTTTTGCTCTGGTATCCTGCTTTTGGGGGCAACAGGTGGGGCCTGGCACAACGCGAATGCCGTACCAGAGAAGCTTTGGGTCTGATCCAGCCCTGGAGCCTTTCTGGTGCCTGCGCGATCTCTCTCGCTCCAGTTCCCCGCGGGGCATCCCGTCCAAGGGAGGCCCTCCTTCACGGCTCCTCTCTCTCGCAGGGCGCTGGCCGACACGAGGCAAACGGGGAAGCTCAACAAGGACCAGTTTGCTCTGGCCATGCACCTCATTCAGCAGAAGGTCAGCAAGGGGGTCGATCCGCCCCAAGTGCTGCTCCCGGACATGATTCCCCCAGCGGAAAGGACCACCCCGGTCCAGGTGAGCCCCCTTGTGCCTCCTCTCGGAAGGCGGGCGCCTGTCCCTGAAGGCTCACGCTCCCGGTTCGGCTTGGCAAAGGGCCGTTTCGAGCTGCAGCAAGAGCTGGAATGGGGAGTGCCAAGACCCCCAGTGTAGTTGTTCTAGGGGAAAAAAGATATCAAAACCCTTTCCTTCCTTCCTTCCTTCCTTATCTTTTCCTTCCTTCCTTCCTTCCTCTGTCTTAGCGGTTGTTGCGCTAGGAGGGGGAGAGCGATGTTTCTTGCCTGCATCTCCCGTGCTGAGCTGGAGGGAATCCTTGGTCTCTCCCTTCTCCATCCCTCAGGGATCCTTTCCCCCGCCCCGTGGGCGCTTCAGCTGTGTCTCCTCTCCTCCTTTTCTCCTCCAGACTCTTTCAGGCTACTTGGCCTCTGTAGGACCCGAGATCATGGCCATTTCAGAAATGCGGCGCGTGAGTAAAAGGGAGCATCCTCTTTACATGGCCATGCGTTTTCTCCATCCAAAACATATTCTCCCCCCCCCCACATCCAGATCACGCGATGCTCCCCCCGATGCACAAAGGGAGGTTGTGTTGCGGCTGGTCCTGAGTGCCTTAAAAGAATTTTAGGCACCGGGGCCAGAGGAGAATCACCTAGAGTTTTGGTCCTAGCATGGCAGGTTTTGTCATCCCCCTGCGGCGTGAGACTTGCATGTTTTTCATCCCTTTCTCTTTCCCCTCCATCTGTTGCTCCGCTGTCTGGTTTCGCTGCCTCTGACGCTCCTTGAATTTCGCTTTTCCTCCGGCCGTCCTCCCTGCTTCTCCTGGATTTTGGACACGGGATGGGGTTAGCAGGGGCTGCAGGTGGCTTACCTGGAGGTTTAATTGGGACCCCTTTGGCTGCTCGACAGGACAGCTCCAGTTCCGTAGGATCGGGGGAATTCACCGGCGTGAAAGAACTGGACGATATCAGCCAGGAGATCGCGCAGCTGCAAAGGTACGTGGCCGTGGTGGCATGTGGCCTTGATCAGGGTGGCCTTCACGAGGTGCAGAGCCTACCTCCGGACAGCCATCTCTCTGTGCAGGATTCTGCCCCGACGGCTGGCCCTGCGCCATCACCATTTCTGTTGGCCTTCCAGCTTTGTCGGCAGGTGTTCCTCTTTAAGCTGCTGCACTCCGGTGTCCTTCTGGGTAACAACTCTATGGCAACTTTCCCCCCGTATCTGCAGGGGAACAGTTCCACGCCCCCGTGATGCCGAAAAACACGGATCATAGCAAACGCTACACCTAGAATCCCCTCTAGTAGCCAGTTCTGGTGACTTCATCTTTAGAAATATATATTTCTAGGATGCTTCTTTCAACATTTTTAATATTTCCAGATCCTGGATAAGTGAACGTGGATACTGAATCCACTCTTTCTGTAGTAGATCATTTCAACAGGACAATCCCCCACCCCCATTTTTCTTTTTCACTCTAAATCCAACATCAGACCTCAGCAGAAAAATTTATTTCTGTCCTTCCACGCGTGAATTGTCGATTGCTGCATGCAGTGAACGGAGTCCCTTCCCCCCACCTCTCGTTTGGCCTATCCGTGGTGGAACTTCAGTTCTTCTGCGAATTGCCTCTTCTAAGATTATTGGCGTAACGGCTACTGTTCCAATCTCTGCCACCCCAAACCCTGGCAAGAGGACTCAGACCGCACGTTTGACGGCACCGGCTGAGACGGGCTGTTATTTCTCACGAAAGAGCTTTCCCTTCCAGAGAGAAGTATTTGTTAGAACAAGAAATTCGAGAGAGGGAAGGAGCGATCCGTCAGAAAACCAGCGAAGTCCAGGTGAGACTGGGGGGGGGAGCGGGGGGGTCATGCGTGAGGAAGCCCCCAGGGCACAAGCAGCAAAGGGACTCAGATCTCTTGAGTGAGTGCCTTGAAAAAACAGTTTACGGGGATCCGTGCCTCGAGGAGGAGGTGAGACCCGGTGGCCTCCTTCCGAATTCACGATTCTGTGAAAGGCATGATAGAAATACCTGCTGGGCAGCACTGTGGTAGAGGAGGGGGGAAAAGCCGGGGAGGGGGCTTTTGAAAAGGCTTTGCTGAGCCTTTCCAGCCTTGATCGATGCCCGGAGGGAGAGGAGGGGAGCGTCCGGCCCTCGGCCATCCTTCCTGCCACCGAGCCGTTTTCGCCCCGTGGGTGGCTCTCCGCCCCGGCAGGAGCTGCAGAACGACCTCGACCGGGAGACCAGCAGTTTGCAAGACCTGGAAGCTCAGAAGCAAGACGCCCAGGACCGCCTGGATGAGATGGAGCAGCAGAAGGCCAAGCTGAAGGACATGCTGAGCGACGTGAAGCAGAAATGCCAGGAGGAGACACAAGTGGTGAGTCCAGGAAGTGGCTCCGTCTTGGAGGGGGTCTGCCGCTCTTCCAGGGGTGGGGAGGGCGGATGTGGGAGAATGCCTCTCCTCTAGGTCAAGCCTGGGCCAATCCCACAACACGGTTTCTCTGTCGTCCGCAATGCCCTGTTAAAAAAGGCTGGGTGGTTTCAGAGATGGAAAATATCACATAGGACCCCGGTATCCACAGGACCAGCACCCACAGATTCGCTCAGGCACGGGCTGAAAGTATTAAAAACTTTAAAAAAGAAAACCATTAGAAACGTATCTTTCTAAAGGTGAAGTTACCAGAACTGGTCACAAGAGGGAGCCAGAGACCATGCCATGTAAAGCGTTTGCTCTTAAAATAGTGTTTGCTTTTATCCGCGGTTTTGAGCATCCGTGGGGGAATCAGAACTGTGGTCCTCCTGAGCTGAGGGTTTGTAGTCCCAACTGCTTACATGGCTCCGTGGGGTTGCCCCACCCCCCCACCCCGGTGTGTTTGTTCCAGATCACATCGCTGAAGATGCAGATTGAATCCCAGGAATCGGATCTGAAGTCCCAGGAAGACGATATCGGCCGAGCAAAAACTGAACTGAATCGGCTGCAGCAGGAAGAGACGCAGCTGGAACAGAGCATCCAGGCTGGGAAAGTGCAGCTGGAGACCATCATCAAATCTTTGAAGTCCACCCAGGAAGAAATCAACCAGGTAATGGAGGCGTCTCTGATAACCAGTTTGGTTATCAGATAGCTCTTCGCTGGATACCCAGTGACTCTCGGGTCCAGCGTCCTCTCTTCCTCAGAGATACATCCTATACAGTGGGGTCTTGACTTGAGAACTTAATCCGTATTGGAAGGCGGTTCTCAAGTCAAAAAGTTCTCAGGTCAAATCTGCATTTCCCATAGGAATGCATTGAAAACCATTTGATCCATATCTGCTCTTTTCCGTCCATAGAAACTAATGGGAAGCTGCTATTCCGCCTTCGACNNCCCCGTGGGGTTGCCCCACCCCCCCACCCCGGTGTGTTTGTTCCAGATCACATCGCTGAAGATGCAGATTGAATCCCAGGAATCGGATCTGAAGTCCCAGGAAGACGATATCGGCCGAGCAAAAACTGAACTGAATCGGCTGCAGCAGGAAGAGACGCAGCTGGAACAGAGCATCCAGGCTGGGAAAGTGCAGCTGGAGACCATCATCAAATCTTTGAAGTCCACCCAGGAAGAAATCAACCAGGTAATGGAGGCGTCTCTGATAACCAGTTTGGTTATCAGATAACTCTTCGCTGGATACCCAGTGACTCTCAGGTCCAGCGTCCTCTTTTCCTCAGAGATACATCCTATACAATTTGGTATCTTTCTCTGTTTCAGATTTTAGCCTTTTTAATGCAACGGTATTCATTCTTTTTAACCTTTGAATCCCAGTTTGAGCTTTTAATAGCGTCTCTTGAATGCCGTAAGCCGCCTCTGGGTCCTCTTCGAGGAGAAAGGTGGGGGTAAAAATATATATTTTAAAAAGAGGTAGGAATAAAACCCCCTTGCGGTCCTTGCCGTCTTTTGTCCAGGCAAGGAGCAAACTCTCCCGGTTGCAAGAGAGCCACGTGGAGGCCAGCCAGAGCCTTGACCTATACAACGAAGCCTTGAACGGCGTCCACGGGGGTAGCATGACGAACCTGGCGGATCTCAGCGAGGGGGGCGCCCAGAAAGACCGGAGTGGCTTCGGGGCTTTGGTGAGGAGCCGCCGCGCTGTCTGCGGGAGGAAATCTACACTCCCAGCACTGAACATGGGGGTGGATCTGGAAACGGGCCAGAACTGGCGTGGCCCCGGTAGACGGCGTGGGCCACGCTCACCTCTCAGGGGGTCACACACCCCCTACCCTTTTCCAATCCTTGTTGGCCACACGCTTTGGGCCAAGACAGCTCCCGAGGCGCATGGATCCCGGAACAGCTTCGGAAAGAGATTTGCTTTCTTTTTTTCCCCCTCTCCCCCCAGGAGGGTCCATTCAAGAACAAGGCCCTGATATTCAGCAGCCACGGTCAAGAGATGCCCCCCGACCCTTTCCACACTGAGGACCCCTTTAAAGGAGCAGACCCTTTCAAAGGCAGTAAGTGACAGCCTCCGGAGCGTCTCTCTCTCTCTCTCTCTCTCTCTCTCTCTCTCTCTCTCGTGGCCCATCAATGTTGACCCTTCTCTTTCCTCTTGGCCTAGATGATCCTTTCCAGAACGACCCTTTCGCTGATCAGCCCTTGGCCGCTTCAGGTACGACGCTTGGCTGCTGCTTCTTCAAAGCTCCGAAGGTTCCTCCCCCCCCGCCCCTTATTATTTTTTATGTAAAAGTTCAGTAGAACAGAACAGTCCGATCCGTTCCAAGCCCCCGCCTCCACGGGGCTGGCCAAAACCTGTGGAAGTATCATTCATGATACAGTAGGTACAGTGGACCCTTGACTTACAGACGGCTCGACTTACAGAGTTTTCGAGTTACAGACTTCTCTGGCCGCAAAATTTAGGTTCGACTTGCAGCCAGAGAATCGACCTACAGACCAGGGGGAAAAAAAAAGCCAAAATGGAACAAAAACGGACGGTTACAGGATTAATCGGTTTTCAATGCATTGTAGGTCGACCTACAGACTTTTCGACCTGCAGCCACCGTTTCAATATGGATTAATTCCGTAAGTAGAGGGTCCACTGTACCCCCTATCTGCGGGATCAATATCCACGGATTCATTCGTACACGGTTTGAAAATATTAAAATCGTTCAAAGGAATATGATAGAAATATGTGTTTCTAAAGGCGACGTTGCCAGAACTGGCCACTCGAGGGAGCCCGAGACCGCACCATGTGCAGTATTCACTATTATAATAGTGTTCGCTATCATCCGTGTTTTTCATCCTCCACGAGGGGCTTAGAACTGATCCTCCCATGGATATGAGGGTCCTGCTGTATCTTATGTGGTCTCTGACTCCCTCAAGTAGCCAGTTCGAGTAAATACATGGATGGTTTTTGTGGGGTTTTTTGGCAAGGCATGACCATGTCCACCTCCATGTTAAGCTCTCGCCTTCAACTCCCGCCTGTTAGATCCATTCGGAGGGGATCCGTTTGAAGAAAGCGACCCATTCCAGGCATCTGCCCCCGAAGATTTCTTTAAGAAACCGGAGAAAAGCGACCCATTCACTTCAGATCCCTTCCTACAGAACTCCACGCTCCCTAACAAAGTAAGGAGGCGCAAAAGGGCTCTGGGCTTCTCTTTTATTTGAGGCCTGGTAAACTCGCTTCGGCAGCTCATCCCAGTTTGTTGACCAGCCGAAAGGGTGCTTGGGCGCATCCAATCCCGGGCTTCTGCCATAAACGAACCGGTTGCTGAACCGCCGGTTCGTGCTAGTCTCTTTAAGGGGCTGCCTTTTGAACCGGCAGAAGGTTTGGGACAGTCTTCAAGGAAGGCTCCTGTTCTGGCAGATTGCAGTAGTCTGTACGTGAATGCGTGCTGCGTCTAGACCGCGTGTGTCTCTAAAGGGCAGAACCTTTGTGTGTCTATGCATCATCCTCTTTCTTACTCCTGGGAAAGACAAAAACTGCATTTTGTAATCTCTTTGCTTTCAGTCGAATTTCTTCGACCACAGCGATCCTTTCCTGTCCCTGAGCGCCTCTTCCTCAAAAGGCCCAGGTAAGGACGCGGAGGGGCTCTCCTGACATAGATCTGCCCTTCCCCCACCTCCAAAGTGTAAAATACCTTGGGAACCTCCTATCCACGGATTCTGTATCCACTGATTCCCTCGGGCGGCCAGTTCTTGTAACTTCATCTTTAGAAATGTTTATTTCTAGGATCTTTTCCTTCTTTTAATACCATTAAGATTTCCAGATGGTGGAGAAGCGACTCCGCACATACCGATCCCGTGGATCCAGGGGTCCCCACTCTAATTGCAGTGGATCTACCACCGCTGCCTGGGGGGGGGGGACTGGAAAGGGCAGAGCAAGAAGAGGAATAACAGCTGCTGAAGTCTGAGAAGCAGAAGCCGTGCCATGTGGGGTGTGTGTGTGTGTGTTGGGATGCTTCGGCATCTGCCGGCACGGAAAGGAAGCCCATCGGAAAGCCACAGCTGTCCTTCCTTTTGGTTGCAGATCCGTTTGGGACGCTGGACGCCTTTGGGAGCAGCGCTTTCAGTGGTGGCAGCACCGAAGGCTTTGCCGATTTCAGCCGCATGTCGAAGGTGAGCTGATTTCCGGCCATTCCCGTCATTGCTGAGACGTGTGTGCTTCAGCCCCCCCGCCCCGGTGATCCGGACGTCTGAGAAACGCCGACTTGCCTTTCCGTGGGTGTGTGTTTCAAAATTTGCTGCTTTGTTTTGCCCACAAAGGAACGAGCTCCCCCCTGCAGCCTTGTGTTCCTGGTGTACCATTTCCGGTCCGGCCCTGATCCGCTCTTTCCCGCCTCCTTCCCGCAGATGCTAAATGGGATGTCCGGTGGGGCCATGCGCCTGGCTGATTGGCATCAAAATATAACCATAAAGAAAGGGCCACCCTTTTCTGCAAGAATGGGCCATCTGAATGCCTTAATTGACCCATCTTGAGTCCCCACGAGGCGGGAGAAAACAAAACAAAATGGAACACACACCCCCTCTGAAAAAGATTTATTATGATTATTTAGTTATTTGTTCTGCATAAAAAGGATTAACCGTGGAACGAAGTGTCTGGTTTTATAGATGTGCGTCAGCATTAATGTACCCGAATCGGGCATATATGACCAACCTGGTTTACCTTCCCTGTCTCCTTAGGGTAGCTGAATTGTGGTGCAGTGGATTTGTAACCGAGATGACATCTGCCTTCTTCCTTATATTTAGGATTCTCTCCTTGCGGTCTCGTCTGCAGTGTTTGCTTGTGCCTCCCACCCTGGTTCTGGCTTTCCTTAATTCTTTTAACCCGTTCCTTCCCTTATGCGAGTGAAGGGCTGGGTCCCTTATAAGTTCCTGAGCACTGAACGCAGCAAGCAGATCCATGAGGGGACTTGCCCAGCGGGAAGGGACCCTCGAGATCATCCCGTCCAGCATTTTGTCAGGGAGGCCCCGTGAGGTGGGAGATTCGAACTCCCCACCTCCAGCTCCTGAGCCAGATGCCGAAACCCCTGAGCGATCTGACCATTCCTGAACATGCAGGGCAAGGTGTTTTGAGAACCACAAGGGTAGGCAGCATGAGGCAGAGGAAGCCAGCTTTTCTGATTTCCTCCATGCCCGTACTGTCGGGAAACTGGAGGTGGCAGCAGGGAGGTGAGGACCGAGTGGTCTGGGTGCCTTCTTGGTGGTTATCCTCCTGAAACAGATGTGTCACTACACTTGGGTCTCGAACCCGGGGCTCGGAGGGACTCTAAATTGGCTGGCCCAGTTCCCTCTGGAGGATGGCCCTTGCTCTCTCGGTAGAGGATACACATAGAAGTGGTTCCCCCCCCTTCTCTTCTTTCTTGGGGTGCCCGAGGCCGGGCAGGGGTCAGGAGACCCAGTGAGGATTTGAACTCCCAGCCTCTGGCCCCCACAGCCCGAGACCTCGACCCTTGAGCTCTCCAGCCCACTGGTCTCTCTTTTCTCTTTTTTCTTTTAGCACCGTATTTTTTTTCATCCTTTCTTAGTATCGGTAGACTTGCTGCTTTTTAGCTTGAAATGTTGCCTTTTAATGACAGAAGCTGTTTTGGGGGGTCCTTTTAAGGAGAAAGATGGGATTTAAAAAACCATTTTGAACTATTGTATGTGCGCATGATGGACCAGGTCGTCAAAGCGACCAACATGAATTTGACCCAACTCCGGGAGGCCATGGAAGACAGGAGGGCCTGGCGGGCTCTGATCTATGGCGGTCACGAAGAGTCGGATATGACTTAACGAATAAATAACAACAAAATGCATGCATGAAACAAATGAATGAGTGAATGAATGAAACCACATAACGAAAAGTGATGGGACCCTACGCATTGCCCTCAGTGATGCTGAATTGACTGCGTTGGGATTCCTCATTCTATACAAGCGTTGAGGGGCAGACCGGCTTCCAAGCGGAGCAAAGCGTTTCCCATCTCCTTCCCAGTTTGTGTCTAGCTTTCTTCCCATGCCCAGCTGGCTGAACGACTGAAGCTTCATTTGCATCTCTTTATTTTATTTATTTATTTATTGCACTTATATGCCGCACATCTAGACATAGTCTACTCTAGGCGGCTGAAAACAGACAAGATAAAAACAGTTAATATATAATGACAGTTTACTTTCCCCAGCCTCTGGGAGTCTCCTTTCAACGTCCGCGGGTCTTTGTGTCACAGACTACTGTAAAATGTGATGCTTTTCTCCCACAGCCGCCGGCTTCGGATCCGTTCTCCTCCTCTTTCGGAGGCTCTGGTTTCCCGGACGACCCTTTTAAGAGCAAAGCAGACACTCCTGCCCTCCCACCGAAGAAAAGCGTGCCCGTGAGGCCAAAACCATCCAGTGGTAAGTCTGCCTCATCTCGGGGGGGGGGACTTGCGAGGAAACACCTTCCTTGGGAACATGGGATAAGTGAATTATAATAATTGTAATAGAACTTGGCAGCTTCCAAAAATCCATGGGAACGCCAGGGAGAGAAGGGGGTCAGAAAATGGGGAAGTCAAGATCTTGTGTGATTTCCAGATCCCAGCGGAGAGACACCTTGAACATATCAGACAGAGTAGTCATAGAATGGAGGAAGGTCCAGATCGTTGACCTTGCAATGCCAGGGGGTGCCAGAGTAGAAGCTAAAGAATTGGGGGGGGGGGAACTAACCAAGGACAGAGACCTGGCTGTCAAGACATCTTGCTTGTGGATGAAATGCCCTTCCGGGGTCCCCCGTCATCATCGGGGCTTTGGGAACGATATCAAGAAATTTCACACCATTTTATAAGCAGCTGCAGGTCTCAGAAACCACACACCCTCAGAGATACGAAAACGGGCGGTGCGGCAGGATCAGTCCAACCCCTTGTTCAAGACTTAGGTTTCGGGCTAAAACCTGTATCTGTTGTATAAGGCCACTCAGGGTTTTTATAAATTTGGAACGGTGGCCTTTTTGAGGGCGAGGGGTAGCCAGGTCCCAAAAGCGTTCAGAGCTTTAAAGATTTATGTGGAATCATAGACTAGAAAAGGTGGACCCGTTTTATCTGACCTAAGCCTTCATAGCGTCACAGACTGGGAAGGGGGGACCCCTAAGGCCATCCAGTCCAACCCCTTGTTCAAGACAGGGACCCAAATCCAGGCGGATCCGGCTGACCGGGGGTGGGTGGGTCCAGTTTTCTCCAGCGCCGAAGCACTCTCGACCTCACAGGTCCCATCGTCATACGACTCTAACCGTTAGGAAGTTTTTTCCCAACCTTCGGCCAAAATCTGGCTTCCTGTCACTCGAGCCCTTCCTGGCCGGCTCTAACTCTGTGTGTGAGCTGGACTTGGGTTCCCTTTGCCATGAACGTCAACCGGGTCTCGGTTGTGCCCGCTCAGCGTGTCCAGTCTCACAAGGAGAAGTCACAGCTGAAGCGCTTAAAGGGGGGGTTCGATGCCTGCCAGGGGACGGCTGGGACTCTTCAGAGCGCCTCCGGCAAGCACCTTCAGAGGTGGGCCCCTTTCGGCCCTCCTCGCATTCAGGATCTGTCGAAATCGGTTAAGATGGCTTCCTTAGAAAGATCGGCCGGTTATGGGGAGTGCAGATTGAAAACCCTCCTTCTTTGCTAAGGATCTGTCAGCGTTCACCGCAGAGTAGCTTCTAGGTAAAAAGCTGTTGAGCATCAAAAGAGAAGAACCGGGGTTTTTTCAAATTTTTTTCTTTTCTTTTTGGTATTTTTCTCTAAGCACAGGAAGTCTCTGTGTGGGTGTCAGTGATTGTGAACCAGTTCATCGCTCCTGGCACCACCATTGTGGGACCGGCTGCACCGGCCCCACCCAGAGCCACTTCCTCCCTGGCGTGCTGCTTGCCAGTAACCAGGGACAGAGTTCAGGTTCCTCACCGGGGAGCAACCTTTAGCAGGCCGGTGACCTTGGCCCTGGCCGGGGAGGGGGTCTCATTCCACGAACTGGGGACGGCTCGGGGCCCATCCCCGCCGAGAAGCGCTCCCTGCTTGAAACAGAAGCATCCGGGTTAAGCACCCTTCTTGCGGCCATTCTCTGTTGATAAAGAATAATGCTTTTAGGACAGTAGAGGTGGAAAAGGGGACCCTTGGGGTCATCCAGTCCAGCCCCTGTCAAGGAGCCCCCCTTTCTACCCGTGCCCCTGCCTCATTTAATGTCCTCAAATGCCAATTTTTTTTTTGGAAACCTGGGAATGGTCTTCTACACAGGTCTGATCCCGGGGTTTTTTCTCTGTTGGTGTGTTGGTGCGCATGTCATTTTGGGCACGTTCGGTGGTGGAGAAAGCCACGCCCGGGCCTTCCCGACCGGGGGTGGGGGGGGGAAGAAACCGCCTGATGGAGGACACATTGAAGCCCGGGCAGAGGGAAAGCTGCTTTTCGGGGGGGGGGGGGAGAAATCGCCTGATGGAGGACGCATTGAAGCCCAGGCAGAGGGAAAGCTGCTTTCCCTCGCTCTGCCCAGAGCTGTTCGGCCCTGGTGGGGCCTCCATTCAAGTCCCAGGTCCCGGTGCAGATGCCGGGCTCAAAGACAGAGGTTGACCAAGTGGAGCCGGTTCAGAGGAGGGACGTCCACCCGGGACGACGAAGGGGGACCGGAAACCAAGGAGGAAAGATGGTAAGATCTAGGCAGGTTGAGCCTTGAGAAAAGAAGACGGAGGGGAAACAGGGGAGTGCTTTTAAAAGACTCAAAAAAGAAGAGGGGCAGGATCCGCCCTCGATCCCCCCCAGAGGGCAGGATATGTCAGGATGGGCTCAAGCGATAGGGAGCCAGATTTCGGCTGAAGGTCAGGAAAAAGTTCTCAACCATTAGAGACATTTTTAATCATCATTTTGGAACAGCAGGGGCTGGAAGGGACCCCCAAGATCATCCAGCCCAGCCCTGTGGGGGATTCGAAAGAGCCAGATTTCGGCTGAAGGTCAGGAAAAACTTCTCAACCATTAGAGACATTTTTAATCATCATTTTGGAACAGCAGGGGCTGGAAGGGACCCCCCAAGATCATCCAGCCCAGCTCTGTGGGGGATTCGAACTCCCCACCTCTGGCCCCGCCGCCAGTGACTCCTCCCCAACCTCTTGAGCGATCCACCAAGGGGTTTTAGAATTTATAACAACGTTATGCAGCGATCAGTGTTGATTTTTGTGGCCTTTTGCAGTCAGGAGCGCCTTGCTTCGGCAAGAAGCCGCTTTTGCACAGTTGGCATCTGGCTGCTCTGCCTCCGTGGTTAACGCCTTCGCTTCTGGGTGAGGGCCTGGGCTCCGTTCTCACGCCACGGGTGGCTCGTTTCTCAGTGGCTGAACCGTCAAGAAGTTCCATGTTGAAGCTTTAAGTTTGCCCACGTGACTCGGGGGTGCATGCCGGTCCCTTTGGATACTCTCTCGTCATGCCAACTCTGTAAGGCCTGCCTGGGTTCCCAGAAGGTTGCATGTGCAAACTTTCAGATTTCATAGGACCCTTCTTCAGATTCAGACCTCAAAGGGTTGTGTTGGTTCGGCTTGGTTTGTTCATTTCTCCTTTTAATTTCTCTCCCCTCTATTGGGGGGGGGGCCCTACAGGTTTCCTTCCTCTCTGTCCTCGCAGCAGAAAACTCCACCCCGAGAGGAGGGAGGCAGCCCAGAGAAAGGCTGCCACAGTTCTCAAGCCAGGCGAAAGGCCCCTCCGAGCCTCCAAAGCCAGGAGCACTCCAGCGGGTGGGAGGAAGGCCCTCCCGTGCCAGCCTGCGGAGTTGGCGCTGAGCGGCGTCTTTGCCGTGGGCCCCTTCTCCTGGCCAGCCGGGGGTTCGCCGGGACGGACGTCCACCCGCCAGCTCTGAAAAAGGTTTAATGGCATTGGGAGCTAAGAAAGGGCAGGATTAGAAATGGACCGAGCGAGGAAGAGGGCTAATTCCGGGTGGGTATGTCCCGAGCTGACCGTTCTGTGGGAAAACAAGCCCAGGGGGAGAGCGGCGCTTAAAATACAGGTGCCTAGAGTGGTTGAAATGACTAGATAGGCGGGGTATAAATACAATAAATAAATAAATAAATAAATAAACCAGCCGCCCTGCTGGTGTTCTCTTTGAATCCGAGAATCGCAGTGTCAGAAGGGGTCCAGAACTGGTTGCGGGACCAAAAATTCCTTTTATCAACGTTTTAGGAATAGGAACCGAGAACAAACCCAAGGAACTTCATGTATAAGTGAACCTATAAACCCAAATCCTATATACGTTGGAAAGCCGTGTGTCCTTTCTTGGGGCTAATGGATCTAATTGGGAAGCCAAATTCTACTAAACGGACCGTCCGGTGCCTCCAGCCTCCAATAGCTTTGGCAATATCTCTAACGCTTCGTGCGCTATCTCTGGAGAGCGACGCAGCTGGAAGATGCTTACGGTGACACACTCGCCCTGCAAATAAATGGTGCACGGTTTGGAAATGGTCCGTCTCGAAGCGTCGTAGCCTGTTTTGATCTCTAGGCGATTTTTTTCAGGAGGAGTTTTTGCAGGCCCTTCGGCCGGGGAACCGGAAGGGGAAGGTCAGACCTGGCCGTTAGTGACAGGGTGGCCCTAGAAGCGAGGAGGCCGCTTGCTTTGCCCACGGAGGGGGCTGCTGCCCCGGTCCCGCCGAGCAGAAAGGACGGTCGCTCAGGCTGAGATCCCCTGCCGGGGAACCGGAAGGGGAAGGTCAGACCTGGCCGTGAGTGGCAGGGTGGCCCTAGAAGCGAGGAGGCCACCAGCTTTGCCCATGGAGGGGGCTGCTGCCCCGGTCCCGCTGAGCAGAAAGGACGGTCGCTCAGGCCGAGATCCCCTGCCAGTCTCAGCTGAGGAGAGGTTACAAGGAAAAGAGTGACGGGTTTTAAAAAGCTGGTTTTGGGGGCCGTGCACAAATTTGTGCTTGGGGCGTCTGTAGGAAAGCCGTCCCTCTTTCCCCCCCGGGTGCCGACTGAGGCATTCGGCTCTTCCTAGGTGCAAAGGTGGGAATCAGCCCCCCGGATCCAGTGCCGAGGGGACGCTTCACCCCCATCCCACTCCCCGGGACCGGCTCTTGCAAGTCTTGCCTGTGCTCCAGCGCACACGCTGGGTGGAGCCTAGCCCGGCTTTGCTGCGGTAAATCATGTTGTTCATCTTTATTTTGCTGAAGTGAGGCCTTGGTGCGGTTTGTATTCACCACTTGGGCAACTGCTGAAACTCTTGTGGTTTTTTTTTCTTTCTTTCTTTCTTTTTCTTCTTCTTTTTTCTTATTTTTTCCTGAGCCCGGGGGCCCTGTTTTGCTTTCGGCGCCAGGAATGGAGCAGAAGCAAAAAAGAAGAAGAAAAAAAGTTTGCTTTTTTTCTTCCCCCCCACGCCCCCCCAAAAAGAAGCCGCACCGCGAAGTGATTAAATATAATTCTGCGTTTAAAAAGACGGTCCCCCAACGTGCTCTTTTCCTGGCCTTGGCTCCCCTCCATCATCCTCTTGAGAGACAGAGAAATCTTAGCATTTCCTTGAGGAGAGGTGTTGCTTTTCCCCCCTTGAATCCTTGGCAAATACTTTCAGCCACCCTTTCTTTGAGTTTTCCCCCAGTTTCTGCCCAAAACTTTTCAAAGCGTGCAGCACCTCGTTGGCTACCCGAGTATGATTTGTAGATGAACTCTTTGGCATTTCTTCTTTGACTGGGTTTCTCCTCCTGCTTGAGCTGACCAGGGATCTTGGAGTTCCTTTGTGCTTTTTGG